AATTAAATAAAATTGTCCTCTACATCCCTGATGTGTTCTCCAATTAGCTTTACCCACAAAACAGTATGCTACAAAGCCCTTCATGGTATTGGATCTGGGTATCGTAACTTATAAAGCCCTTCATGGTATTGGATCTGGGTATCGTAACTTATAAAGCCCTTCATGGTATTGGATCTGGGTATTTGAGAGACCGCCTACTGCCAATTACCTCCACTAGACCAATTAGATCCCACAGACTAGGCCTCCTCCGAATTCCATCAGCCGGCCAGTGTCGACTGGCGACTACCCGGAGGAGGGCCTTCTCTGTGGCTGCTCCGACCCTCTGGAACGAACTCCCCGTGGAGATTTGTACCCTCACCACCCTCCAGGCCTTCCGCATAGCCCTTAAAAACTGGCTGTTCCGACAGGCCTGGGGCTAAAGACTCGCTGCCCCACTTCGAATGGTATGATTGTTGTGTTTCTTTTAACTATGTTTTTTGTAACTTGTTTGTTTTTTTCCCTCCCTTTGAGTTGTGAGCCGCCCTGAGTCCCTTTCAGGGAAAAGGGCGGCATACAAATAAAATTAAAATCAAATCAAAAAATCAAAATGATATTTTTCTCATCGTTTGATTAAAAAAAAACAAGTAAACTAATCTCCCAAGGAATAGTGATAACTTTTTTTTTCTCCAAATATTGTTTCCATTTAGTTCTACTGGGTTTATACTTGATGGTTTTCCACGAATAGTAGAAGAGGTCCAGTACTTAGCAGAACATTCACTTCTTCCGGATATTATAGTTAGTTTTGAAGCTGAAGAAGAGGACATTTCTGACAGACTTCTCATGAAACAAGTACTAAAATGGAAAGAGAAACAAACTAAGAAAATGGAAAAGAAGCAGCAGATTAAAGAAATGAAGGCAAAAGGGAGGGTAAGTATTACTACTATTGATTATATAATTCAAGGATAGATAACCTTTTTAATGATAGGGGCTACCTTTTTTTTAACTAGCCAAGAGCTACCGTAAATTGGCTATTTGGAGCAGACTGGATTAAAACTAGAATGATAGGTATTCTGCTTGGATAGTACCCTGTCCAAATATTTTACCAGATTCAGCACTGAGGATTGGGTTGGTTGAGCTAAATGATTTCTGAGGTTACTTTCCAATCTATGATTTAAGATTAATCTGTCATATCATCTTTTTTTTTTAACTTTAATTTTTTTTATTTTTTGTTACACAGACAACAATGGGAAAGGGAGAGGATGGAAAGAAAAAGGGGGAGAGGGCTGTCATATCATCTTTATATATCATATTGGATTTACTACGTTATTTTTGGCTCAATGTTTTTTATGAATTGAGGAAGACTCATTTAACAAATTGTGTTTGCTTTATTATCAGGGGTTAATTGAAAAAAAATGAGGCTTAATATAATAGATTGGTTAGAAACAATGAAAATATGTACATTAGAATATTTTATTAACAGGAAGAGCAAATTCTCAGAAGACGGGCAGAGCTTCAAAGTGAACAAACAAGAAGGAAATTAGAGGTAAGAAGACTCGACTTGTAAGGCAAAATTAAATTTCAAGTCCTATTTTTAAACATTGTTTTGAATTAATTTTATAGGAATTTATAAAATGACTAGTATTTGGACACTGCTGCAATTGAACAGAAAAGAAATTGCTAAATGATCACAGATTATAATTATGGCACATTTTTCTTTAAATTGGTTGGAATGGAATAAAGTACTTAAATGTTTTGCTTTGAGAAAATAATCATTGACTAAGAAGCCTTTGTGTTCATTGCGCTCATAGACATCAACTGTTTCTTGATCCCTGTCGTCTTCCATCAATTGATTATTTTCACAAAATACAATAAAGATGCCATCTAGCATCATCACTATCTTAATATCTATATACTTCAAAAGCAATATTGTTGTAAAGTTTTAAAAGGAATCTTCTTAAATTCTCTTCTGACCACTAGCATTTTCCACATACCTTAAAGGTGGTCATAAGAATTTAAAAAAAGGATTTTATGGATTTGGGGTAGATTCCAACCCTAAATGAAGAGGAAATGTTAACAGATTCCTTCTCAGATTTTACTCTGAAACAACTGAAAAATGTGTGAATGAACTTAGTTTTAATGTGAAAACTTACTGAGAGCCCTAATTCCTTTTCTTTAAAATATTAATGTGAAAGTGAATTTTCAGCACTCACTATAACCTAATATAAAAGGAAGATGTATGCTAGGATAATTTTAATATTTTACTTAATAATCTCACTTCACTCAGTGAAGAATTGTCAAATTCATTCCGTATGATTTATTATCAATATTATTAAATATTTAAAAAAGTAAAGAGCATTATTAAACCACATTTTACTTTAATATTCCTTTCATTCATCCACTTCTTTTAAAGAAACAGTCATAAATGTGTTTCATTTTATATATAAGAACACAACATACGCATGTTTGTTGTGTTGTTACTTGACAAGTTTAATACTTTTCTGAGGCACTTCTCCTACAATGAATTCCAGTACTATAAATGATGGTACTGGAATTTCAGGAGTCTGATGATGGTTTTGTGAAAGTTTGCATTTTGGTTCCATGTTCAATACTCTAATGTCATGCAGCCTGTAAACGGAGAGCCTTTTGAAGGATCCATTCCAGTCCTAAGGTTTAATTCTGTCCCCCTATCTATCACATATATTGCCTTATTTGTAGAAATAATGAAGTGACCGAAATATGAGCTTCAAGATGCCAAAACCTTTACATTCTGTTCACACTCTTAGTTTCAAAAGAGGTAGCTGGCTTGTTTTTTAATTTCACTAATAGCAGTTCAGCCCACTATTTCTAGTCCATGAATGTGTATAGGCAGCAAAGCCAGTTTGTATACTAATACCAGTTATTACTCTTTGAAGATCATTTATGAATTATCCACTCATCCCACAATGGAATCAGTCAGTTGCTTAGGGACTTGTACCTGTCCATCTGAAGCATTTTACATAGCCACTGCTGTTGGAAAAGAGATTTTATTTGTATTTTATGATTACTATGGCCTTTCCCCCCCCCCCTTTTTTTCCACTAAAGACTGTACAAAGTTTTAAATTCAGTTGTTGCTTCCCTAAGAACAAATTGTACGTAGGAAAGCAATCTGTCATGAGTATAAAATAAAATAAAATTAGCTCAATTTATTTATCCGGTGATAAAACTGAACTGGATAAATATTTCAAGTCAGCACATAAATTGGCCCATTCGATTCACAATATTTGTTCATGGAATGTTTTTACAGAAGGATTGTGGGGTAAGATAGAAAGAGAATTTTCCCTGATTTCTCAAACTGCCTACAATCCCCCCAGAAAATTAGGATTCCATCCAAAATAATGAAGGATGTGGCAAGGGAGAAGGAAAAATGAATAAAATTCACTTTCTCCACTTCTTTAGGTAGAACTCCTGACAATGTCTATTTACATACTCTAGAGCTAACCCATGGATTCTTGGAGGGATAAATTAGACAGTACCAAAATTTTGTTTTTATCTTGCTTCAGCTTGATTTTATTAGAATTCCAATTTGGAGGATTTAGTATTTCCTCAAGTATTGGGAGGAGAAAAGTTATGTTTCTTTTTCCCCTTGTGCAAAAATCATAATCCAGATTACTGTAATTTCTGTGTTCAGCTTGCATGTAATGTAAATAACATCACAAACACAGATTCAGTTGTGCTACATATTTGGATAAAGAATCAATTGCTTGAAAATGGTTTTTTAAAATATTGATTGTTTTAATATGTGCTGTTGTATTGGATTCTTGTGTTTTGCCCAGAATGACTTTTTGTGAGGTGGGTTGCTATACAATTTGATAAATTAATAAATAAATGAAACAAAACAAAATAAAATAAACTGTATATGGAAAAGAATCAGCTTATTTTGGCTTTATCTGTGTTGGCGATAATAAGCAAGCAAAAATGAGTATGACATCATTCCAAAATTATTTTTGTCCAGAGGAGAAAAATCAGATGATTAGTAGGTTGGTCTAGACCCAGATTTCAAAAATTAGGGATGTTGGAGCATAATTCTCTCCTTCCTTCCTCTGGTATTCTTCTATCCCCCCTCCCCCATTGTTACACAGTACCTTTGATTCCCCCCCTCCCCAAATTATATACTTAGCAATAGCAATAGCAATAGCAATAGCAATAGCAATAGCAATAGCAATAGCAA